AGTTAAACATAGGATCATTATAGGCAGCACTTCCTGTTTTTTTTGTAGTGGTCGACTCTGTTCCATTTGTGCAATTATTGGACGGACCATCTATGGAGGCACCGACAACTGTGGTAGAAGGGCCAATTACTGTGACTCCTGAAGGAATTTCGCTTGCAGGAGGAACATCACCCGTGGCAGTCACCACGGTAGTTGAACCATTACATATGATGGTGAAAGTTGCTAAAGTTCCAAGTGGTTCAAAAGTCAGATGATGAGAACGAGTCATAAATTATCGAAGTTAAAGATTATAGTAAAATACCATATGAATCGGGATTAGGGGAGGCGCCGATAATTGTAGTGGAGGGACCAATAACTTCGTATCCGGAAGGGATTGCAGTGGCAGGAAGGAGACTACCACTGGTAGTTATCACGATAGATGAATCACCGTTTATAATGGTATAGGTAGCTAAACTTTCATCATATGGGGAGGCGCCAACGACAGTCGAGGAGGGACCGATAACTGTAAGTCCAGAAGGAAGTTCACTAGCGGGAGGGACAGTATTGGTCGTAGTTACTACAGTAACGACACCGTTAGCTTCAAGAGTGTAGGTAGCTAAGTTCCGAGTAATTGAGAAGAAAATAGAACGGATTGAATAAAATTAAAATCAAAAGCTCTCGATGCATATTAATTATTTCGTACCCCCATTCGCGGTTAATCCCAATAGTCCGATAAGAAAAGAAATTATAAGGAATATTCGAATGATTAAGAGAGACATTTTATTATGTGAAGGCAATAATATAACCTTTGTTTATGGGCTCTTACCATTATTTATAATTTATAATATCAGAGAAAGGAATTGATGCTTTTTTTTTTTTTTTTTATCGAGAATCATTTTGAACTTCGAAAATAATATATTGGTTCGATCTGGCGCACACGTTTATTAAACACCAATCAAAATTATTCGTGAACATTAAAGCAAATAGGTCATATTAGACAAATGGTAAACATGCATAATATTGAGAGCACATTTTTCTATGTGAAACGACGGAACACGGAAGAAAAATTTTATGAAATTAAATATTCAATAAAAAATTTTTTCT